AAACATGGAAATAAAAACTCTGTTTACTATAGCATGTTTGTGCTACATTAGGAAATTAAACTGAGCATATTATTTTTTCTAGATAATTTTTTTCAACAACATTTCTTCAGACATTTTTGCACAGCTAACAAATTGTGAGATATCCATATTATTATGTTATCTAATTTTAACAAAATGTTTCAGTGAATAGTCGAGTTCACTATAGTAACTTATTATCGGCATTATTATGTGGAATGGGTTTGTTTACAATGCAAAATTTCTTAATAATTTAGGTCTTTTGGGTATGAAAGAAAACAACTTTTTTTTAAAAATCTCTACCAGTGAACCATATTATTAAGTATGCTTACTAAACAATGCCTTCCAGATATTGCCAAAGCTTTTGTATATGACAAAATGTGGCTGCTGTTAACTTATAGTTTGGTTCTCACTGTAGAATGACTTAAATGAGCACTATTCTCTATTCTATTTTTGCATTTAATGCTTTAACTATCAATTAATGCGGGAAAAAAAACTTAATTATTATTTTCACTGTAATTTAAACATATTTAAAACTGCACTATACTTTTAAAATTTTCTGTAATTTTTAGAAAGATAATTGGCTTACTTGCATTATTGATGTCGATAAAAGTAATTAATAATTTCATGTTTATAAGAGTTATTTTTGGAAATTTTGCATTTTATCAACAACAGAGTATGGAAAAATATCATCATTTCAGTTCCATTATTTTTGATTGGAGACCCCCTAGCCCGCTGTCAACAGAGACTCCAAGTTTTCCTCAGAGACTCCCAGATACTCACCGGAGACTCTACTAGTTCACTGAGACCCCTTGTAGTTCCAATGGAGACCCTACATTACTTTTTTAGGATTTCCCCCACCTTTTTTGTTGGAGACACCATTACGTTTAAGGATTAACCCTTTTTGTTTTAGACCACCAGATTTTTATCGGAGACCCCAATACTTTTTCAGTGTATACCTATCAATCATTATTATAAGTAAAACGTGTAGAGAAACAACTTTTCCACATTGGAAATACATTGATTTTTTTCGGGGACCAAAACAAGATAGATAGACCTTTTGCAATGCAATATTTAATTTTAATTTAAAATTTTTTCTAAGGCAGCGCGCAAACTTTATAATAAATAGAAAATTTATACCTAAAAGATCGTATTAGTCAACAAGTTTTCTGCAAAATCATTATCATTCTCTTCTGCTAAATTTTTAGATAATATACATTAAACAAGATTTTCGCTTTTTGCATGACGATTCATGTTTATGCATATTGTTCTATATTTGGGATTTAAAAAAAACATGAAAGTTTATAACTCCAATGTAACAGTCCCCCCCCCCCCGGCCCCCCCATTCTAAAAAACACAATGCAGCTCAGATTTCCTATCGAGCCTTTTAAATTCTCCTTCCTGTGCTATTATTCCTGAAGGAAATATCAGCTGATTAATGTAAACAATGAAGAAAGATTATCGGGCGGTCAGTTTATCAGAGAAAAAGCAGGAATAATGATTTAAAATCCAAGTATTCAATGTTTTATTAAAGGGACTGTCAGCATAATTTGGAGTATATCCTCAACAGGAAAGTTTAATAATATAAAGTCTGCTCCAAGTTGAAATCCTCTGTTTAATTCTCAATTAATGATTGCCTTATTCTTCTCCCAGGCCCAACAAGCTGCCCTTCAACCCTGTGACTGTCGGCGTAATTTAGAGTGACCCTCCAGTTAAAATAGAGAGGCATGTCCGATTGACAACAATACCATTTAAACCTTAATCTAATTAATGATATAAAAGATGAAAATGTAATCTTATTATTTATAAAGTCTTTATTTCTGATCCATTCTTCATGGTTTCTGAATCAAGAAATCCACATGCAAATTTTACACAAGTAATTTTGTTAGCATATTTATTTCTTAAACATTAAATCTCTGTTTAAAGACACAGTAAAATAAATTTCAATTCAACTCAACTCAGCTTATCCACAAAGAACTATAGTGCGCTTGTTTGGATAATGATTAATGAATTGAATTTAAATTGCCAGATTCTTAAATTCACAACGTAACATTTTAAATTAAACTATAGGATTGTTTCCAATATTTTGCCGCACACAATAGGCATAAAAAATTTTCAAAAAACTTTTTTTTAAAGTTCATAACCTATAAAAAAATGCAGTCAACAGTCACAACTATAGATTTTTTGCTTTTAAAGATTCCTTTAATTCTTCAGTAATAAATAATTTAATGGTTAGATTTGCGGAAATGTGGCGGAGTGCCCCTCGAATTCAAATTATATGACATGTTATGGTGAGCTCGTTATTCCCCTTTACGAATTCTCATGAATAGGTATAGTCAATATTTCCCCCGTAACCTAATATTTGTTTAGGGATAAAGAAACACATCAAAACAAGGAGAAAAAAACGCGAAATTAGAAAAAAGTATTAATATTTTTTTCTTTTTTATTCTGCTGAAGTGTAAAAATCAGCACCTCTTTTTTATGTGTTTAATCTTTGATTATTAGGGTTAAAAACCCGAGTATGACCATTGGCCGTCGGTATGCAATGGTTACATTTTGAAACATTTAAAATTTTAGAAATTGTTCAGAAAAAAAACAAAGCAATTATTTTTGTTTTCGCCTTGACGGTTGGTAGTATGCATTAATAAACTGAGTGATTAAACGGAGTGGATTAGTCCACAGTTGCTCTGTTTTGTTACAACCATAGTGTTTAATGTTTGCTTTAGTGTATTATCTAGTAATCATAGTTAGAGAGCAGAGCGTCTGAAGGAATTGAGTCTTTGTCACAAACTAAAATGTTCTAATCATAGATCTTACAGAATTCCCAGTTAAAAAATCTAAGGTCTCAGACATTGGTTGGAAAGTTATGGGAATAAGAATTAAAAGATTGTGACAAAGACTTGCAATTCCTTTATATATATGTTAGTGTATGTATGTATGTTACTTGGATCTATTGCAGGCCAAAATTAAACCTTTGGACAAGCCTAAAGCATTTTTCATGGCCAAGTCTTTAGAAATGTTTACCACAAATATAATTATGTTTTTCATGACCAAGCGGATAGAAGGGTTTACCATGGACAAGATAATAGAAGTGTTTACCATGTAGACTAGAATGCGTAGATCTAAAAGAAAAGACAAGAAAACAGATGTTTGATCAGATAAAAAGAAGATAAAATGGTCGGAGAAAAAAAATTCACTGCTCTTTTTAAATTTTGTGATAAAAATAAATTGTTTAAAAAATAGGAAGTTATCTTGGGCCTTATTTCGTTATTACTCGATCGCTAAATATTAAACTTAGCAAGAATAAAATTTGTTGCATTATACATTTGTTGCATGTACAAGATAATAGAAGTGTTTACCATGTACAAGATAATAGAAGTGTTTACCATGTACAAGATAATAGAAGTGTTTACCATGGACAAGATAATAGAAGGGTTTACCATGGACAAGATAATAGAAGGGTTTACCATGGACAAGATAATGTTTACCATGTACAAGATAATAGAAGTGTTTACCATGTACAAGATAAAAGAAGTGTTTACCATGTACAAGATAATAGAAGTGTTTACCATGTACAAGATAATATGAAGTGTTTTCCATGGACAAGATAATAGAAGGGTTTACCATGGACAAGATAATAGAAGTGTTTACCATGGACAAGATAATAGAAGGATATACCATGGACAAGATAATAGAAGTGTTTACCATGTACAAGATAATAGAAGGGTTTACCATGTATTTTTAAGACTAGAATGCGTAGATCTAAAAGAAAAGACAAGAAAACAGATGTTTGATCAGATAAAAAGAAGATAAAATGGTCGGAGAAAAAAAAATCACTGCTCTTTTTAAATTTTGTGATAAAAATAAATTGTTTAAAAAATAGGCAGTTATCTTGGGCCTTATTTCGTTATTACTCGATCGCTAAATATTAAACTTAGCAAAAATAAAATATGTTGCATTGAGGCCAAACCAAAATCATCATATCAAATATTAGCCAAAATAAATGTTTGATTTGGCCAAGACACACTGCGCATGGCCAAGTTAAAAATTGAATTCCCAGGAAATCTGATCAATGAAGAGACACTTGTTTATTTATCGAATTCAAACTGTTGCAGTTAGTGTCAATATCTTCTACCTGTCATTTCTGAGTTTTATATTAACAAGTCTAAAATATTCACATATATACCCAAAAAAATTATCATTTTAAATCTAAAATTATAAAAATATTAAAAGCGATTTTTGTTACAAATGTAAAGATACTATTTAAAAAGTTTTAGCAGAAAAAAAGTCAAAGAAAAAGAAACGTAAATAAAAAATATCAATTTATTTATTTGGAAATTGGGAACATCTACAAATATGCATTAGTGCACAAGTATCAGTAAAAATTTTATTTTTAGAACTAAATAAATGTGTACAAAATGAAAAGTAATACTCGGATTAAAGATTTTTAAGGGATTGAAATGTAATTTCAATAAACATACAATTAGAAAATATCGATTATTAACAATGGTTATACATTGTATAAAATATAGATATCTGAGAGTAATTCATACGAAATGATAGGATCATGAAAGGTCTTTATTTCAAATTCCGGACTTCTGCAGTAATTAACTGAATGCTTTTGCCCAAGAGCACATTTTATCCAGACCGATGTCTTTCTTTTACTCATAATAATAAAAAACAGTGATAACCAGAAAAATTATTATGACGACATTATAGTGATACTTACGCGGATTTGATGTTATTACAAAACAAATAGTTTTACTAGTAAAGTATTAAATCACGTATTCAGTTTAATGGGTCTGTTTTTACTGCACAACTGCTGAATGCTTCATGTTCATTAGACTATTTAAAGTGGTAACTTGAGTCTAAAAGTCTTAACTTGAGTCTAAAAGTCTTAACTTGAGTCTAAAAGTCATAACTTGAGTCTAAAGTCGTCTTCCAATTCCAGAGTATTCTGACTCTCACTGTAGATACGATTTCTCTCTTACAATTTATCGAATAAGTTGTTGTAGTAAATTTTCAATAAATTTTGACTTAAAATTACGTTGACAATCCCTTTAAGAACCCTAAAATGTGAAGAATGTTGAATTCTTTTCCATCTTTAAAATCATCCTCAGAATATCCGGTCACCAATACTACTCAAGGTTTGTACAGGGTAACCTGCAGAAGATGTTTAATTTATTCGTTTTAGGATTTTTCAATGCTTAGTCTATTGATAGATTGATATCAAATTACCCATACGTAATCGTATTTTGAAATTAAAATGGAATTTTAAGACCGATCCGATCAAGGGATAAAACCGATAAGGGGGTTAACTATGCTCGGTTTAATCTCGTAATCTGTTTGATCCCTTGATTGATTTAATCGTTGATCAGTTTAACCATATGATTGGTCTATCACCTTGATCGGTTTAACCCTATGATTGGTTTACCTCTTTGATCGGTTTAACGTCCCCCATGATTAGTTTAACACCTTGATCGGTTTAATCCCTTGATTGGTTTAATCCCTTGATTGGTTAAACCCCTTGATTGGTTTGATTCTCTTTTAGTTCCGTGCCTGGGGGTAACTTGTCAACAGCTAGAACCAGTTTTTTGGCTTTTCCCTATCATATCAGAGGTATTATACTGCATTTTATTGTATTGTATTATATTGTATTGTATTGTATTGTATTNTATAATTTGTTCTATTAATTTGTTTCTCTATGTGGTTGGTTAATTTGTATTCATTTGTATTTTAATTAGTTCATAATCATTGTATTATTATCAGGTTATAGTCATTTATTATTAGTATACATATGTGTAGGGATGTTAACGTTTTCATTTTTCAGAAAAACGATCGTTTCGTTATGAAAACGACGAAGAAAAATCGAAAACGAAACGATCGTTTTTAAAAACGATCGTTTTTTTTAAAAATTTCGTTTTTTAAAAATGGTCGTTTTTCAAAACGCTCGTTTTTAAAAACGATCATTTTTCAAAACGATCGTTTTTTATAAAATTCGTCGTTTCGTTAACGATCTTTGGTTATGAATGCCAGAAAGGCAATATCTCAACCAGACTTAAGTTTAAAACATTAAATCATTTATGACGTACAACGTACTGCAAGTCTACAGAATATCATGTTTACATTCTTTTTGCTACATATATACATATGTGTATTTTGATTTGGTGATGACCATTTTATTAATGGCTTTATTTTTCATCAAAGCATTCAAACGAAATGAGCTTTTGCACAAACCCAAATTTTCTCATCCCTATATCTTTGAAACCTTTGATATTTCAAACTTAGCTATAGCTTCTTTGATCTAACAGGATTAATAGTTTGAATTCTACGGCATTTATATATGATAAAGAACTTAGTTCCTTGAAGTACTCTTTTGATGATTACTTTATGTTCATTAGTTTTAGGCCCTTTTTATTTTTATAAGTTCGAGAAACACGTGGAGCAGCTTTGAGCCGAGTGAATCGAATTTACAGCCATCTTTTAGCGGCGGACTTTCTTGTTGTACTTGGATACCTCCCTCTAGGTCAGTTCTTTGAAACAGTTTATTTTTTATCCAAACTCTCGATCAAAAGCTATTTTTTTATTGAAACTATCAATCAAGAGTTATTTTTTTTTATCAAAACTCAAAATCAAGAGTTTTTTATCAATCTCTCGATCAAGAGCTACTTTTTAACTAAACAATAACTCTTAATATTATAAGAGTTATTTCTTTTATAGAAACTCTGATCAATAGTTATTTTTTTATTGAGACTCTACTTCAAAAGTTACCCTTTTTTGAAACTCTAGGTCAAGAGTTATTTTTTATTAAATCTCTAGATCAAGAGTAATGTTCCGTTAAAAACTATTGTTCAAGAGTTATTTTCTAATGAGTCATTTGATCAAAAGGTATCTTTTTCATTTATACAAAAAAAATCAAAAGTTTTTTAAATTGACATTTTTGATCAAGAGTTAATTGTTGATAAAACTCTAGATCAAGAGTTATTTTTTTATTAAAACTAAATATCAAGAGTTTTTCTTTTAATTCTAGATCAAGGGCTATTTTTTATTAAAACATTTAAATCAATTCTTTTGATCATTCTTTGATCCCCTTTTTGCGCCTTTCTTAATGAAAAAACTTTTGATCAAGAATTTTCATAATTTTTACAGAATACTTCAATTTACTCCCTTCCCTTTTTTTATTCTATTTGGGAAAACATTACCTGCGTGTAAATTCTTTTGAAGTCGGAAACTGATTTTTTCACATTTTTCCTCTGAAGCTTGAAGAAAATTTTGTAGATAATTTCCCCGTCTTTCAGAGGTCAAAACTTTTGTGTGAAAAAGCGCTGATCTACAGCGCTTGATCTTAATATTCACTGTGACATTTTAATCCCTCAATTTTAGTTATCCCTACAGCCATAGGCTCGAACCATAGGATTTCAAAGCGGAATTTATTCAATCTTTGGGAGTGCGAAAAATTCGGAGAAATTCTTGATTCTAGTATTCACTGCACGAAGTTTTCCATTCAGTTTATTTATATATATAAAGTAGTAATCTCTGTTTGTCCAATCATAACTAATAAACCTCGGACCGATTTGTCTAAAATTTTGATTGGGGAACCACGGGAGTAGTTTGGTTTAAAGATTTTAGCTGAGCGGGTCCACTTTTTTAGAGAAGAATAGCTAATATCGTAATTTAACACTAAGTGCAAGTGTAAACGGCGGGAGAAACTATGGAGTACCCTAGGCAATGCTGGGTTCCCTAGCTAGGTTTTAATAAATCAAGATATTTTTAGAAATATACTTTACGCATACAAGAGGGAGTTTAGCTGCCTGTAGACTAATCAAGTTTTTTGGATTCATGGCTTTTTATGCTGGATGCTTTCTTCTTCTTCTCCTAGCCACAGATAGGTAAAATGCTGACCAAAAGTTAAAAGCTTTCCGCAAAAATCGATCAGAGTTTTTCCAATTACTCCAATTAAAAGATAGATAGAAGCTTTATGTTTTGGAATCCTGTGCAAAACATTTTTTAATGATTCTCATGTTTTTGAAATGATCTATAAGGTTTATAGAAAATTTAGATGAATAAGCTGTTGACTTTGGTCCCTCTTTTTTTTCAAAATACACTGCAGTGCAGTTACGCCCTAGGCTGAGAGTGTGCAAGTAAGACATCACCTTAAAAAAATTAAAAAATTTTAGAAGGTGACTGAAAAAGAAATTAAGATTATAGTCCGCATATTTTAGAAATAGCGTTTAGTAAAATTGAAGATAACTTTGTTTTTCTAGCTTGAAAAATATGGTAGAATGCAATTGCACAAGTCATTTTTGAAGAAAGTCCAAGGTTGAAAATAATCATTTAAAAAATTTAACCATGGATCTTGGATTTATAACTCATGCTTAATCAGACGTAACTTTTAAGTATATCATTGTGAATCAGACACGACATTTTAGTAATATGAGGGTCACTTAAAATTACGACAATAGACCCTTTTAGAATATTGTGTGGAAAGAATGTGTTATTTATTTGTTTATTTTTAGACTTAATTGCTCGCTTTTACAAATGTTTATCTAGGTTCAAGCTCGAAAAAAATCGTTAAAAAGTTTTAAAAATAAAAAATTTTAATTAATTAGTTGTGAATTTTTATTTATCCCTTTAAATTAGGCAAAGTCCAAATACTGGAGTTAAACATTTTCCAATGTAAACACAATTAATTCTGAACATATATCGGGGATTCAAGGAAAGTACTTTTAGAATGTTTACTCCAAAAAACACCTGATCCCAGTAAACCCATTTTTAAGGGAAACCTGATTTGGTATGGTCCCATGGGCGTTTTCTGTCCAAAAATCACATTTTCGTAAATTTTATAAAGGTATTGAGTCTTCGCCACACCCAAAATTTTCCAATTTATATATCTTTATATATCTTTATGACTTTTGATATTTCAATTATTTGATTTAACAAAATTCAGAAATTGAAATTAACGACATTGGGTTGCAAAGATAGAGTAATCAGATAGTTAGAGTTTGTGGAAAAGACTCAATTCCTTTATAAAAATTTTAATTTTTGTTTATGAAAATTGGAAAAATATGTGGTTATTTTTTTTTTTGAAAAAAAAGCTAAATATTTTATTAAATCTTAGGTACATTGCCATATCTAAACCTCTGAAGCACCTGACTAATAGGTAAAGTAGTATTTATAAACTATAAACACTTTATATCTATAAAACGTAATTAGAATAAAAACCTAAAGCGACAAGCAATAGTGATAAAATCATAAATATTTTGTAATATTATGTCTAATCTATAAAATGAAAAACTTCGTTTTCTATTCTTATATTGAAGAAAATCTTCATAATAAGGACTAAGAGACATGATTTTCAAGCGATACTGACTTCTCAAAGATTTACAAATTTCCCCATGTTTATATATATATACAAGCAATTTGCGGATTTATGTGATAGAAGACAAGGAACCAAAGTGACATAATTTATCTCCTTTAAATATAGACAAAAATAGAGATGGGTGGGATCGGCTTTTTCATTCGTTTTTGAACGGCACATTTCGTTTGTGTTTTTTTCAATTGTTAAACGAAAATTGGTTCGTTCGTTCTTTAAAATATCGTTCATTTAAATCATTTTCCCTATATTTCCCTCGTTTTTTCAGTGAACGAAATTGTGCAGTAACATCATTAATTCAGTAAAATCGTAAGTTTTGTAAAAAAAAACGATCGTTTTTTAAAAAGTTTATTCCAAAAAAACGTTTGTTCAGTGAAAAACAATAGTTTTTTCAAGTTCATAACATAAATTTTGACCAATTTTTAAAGGACTTGAAAACAAAGAAAATTATAATTTATAATTCAGGTATAGAAAAATCTTGTCTGGGTCTCTTTGGACTTTGTGGACAGTTTCATTTATTATCGGAATCTGGCAGGTGGGGAAACTAGAATTTAAAATATTATATTATTTGATTTATATTTCAAATACAAACATGTATTAATGGCAAAGTTTAAATTTGTTTATAAGTTTTTTGAATATATAAAAATATTAAAAGAAATATGCAAAAGTATATACAACAATTTTTTTTCCTTAGTTTTTAAACATAATTTTTAGGAAATCAATGGAGATCAAAGAAAAACATGTTTCTTCTGTCTAAAACCTATTTTTCTTCACACTTCTTAAATCCGATTTTTTCCATATTGGTATAAAATCTACATTTCTTATGCTTGTAAGCTGTAAATTCATCTACGAAGAATGCCAACAACATACCGCCAATTAACTTTAAATGTAAAAAAATATGCATCTTTTAAAAAAAAATATTTCGACAACCTCTATTGTAGTAACCACCTACTCCATAAAAAGTTCTTGAATGTATCTATCCAGGTACAAGCCGTCCGATATCAAACTCAACCAAGACTGAATCCTAGGCTCTAAATGCCACAAAGGGACACAAGCGTAGCTATCCAGCAAGCTATTATCAACCAGGACACAACCTACCTGGCTCTACATGCCTCACAGGGACACAAACGTAGCTATCCAACAAGCTATTAGTTCAGTGCTCTAAATGCCACACAGGGACACAAGCCTAGCTATACAAAAAGCTATTCATCGATCCCAAATGATTGGGACAATCCGATGCTCTAAATACCACACAAGGACACAGTCTTAGCTCTATAAAAAGCTATTCATAGGGCTGGGCAGTTCCGACTCTTTAAAATCGTTCCGTTCGTTCTAGAATAGGCCTTCACCTAGATTGTTCTTTTTTCTCTAAGTCTTGAAAAAGTTGGAAAAAGCCCCCGGGAAAATGGCTTTGATTAACTCCACTTTATGCCAGTTAATTTTTAGTATTGTTTACCATGCTTATTTTTAGGCGTTTGTTCACAATGTTGGGCCCTCCTATGATGTACCATCTTACAACTTGTGCGGAGCAAAAGTATAATTTCAAATATATTAAATAAATATTTTTTTTTCTTGTATTCAAAAATTGATATTGTTCAATGGACATTTTTGCCAAACTTTAAAAATTTAAAATTTCACTAAGGCTATTTGCTTTATAATAGTTAATATTTCAAGCTATGCTTATAGATCAAGCAATCAAAGTTTAAGATATCAAAGGTTTCAAACATAAAGGGAGTAGAGAATTAGCGAATACTGTCGTTGTTCGCTAGAATGGTTTCACATAGAACGTGCTGACACTCAACAGTCCGTACAGACTAAACTTTTAGCTTTTTTTTCGTTTTTATTTTTGTAAATACAGACAACTTTGTAATATTTTTTTCAATTTTGATGTACCCCTTTGAAGGAGAAGAGGTATTAAAGTATTAAATTAAGGCAATACTGTAAATTCTTAATTCTGGCAATTTCAAATTTTGTTAAGACCTATGTACACTTTTGTTTAAATCTTTTATGAATTTTTTTGATTGGTAAATAAGACATTATTTATTTTTCAGGCGTCCATAGCCACATCTATCTTTACTCCGCTAACAGCTCTCTTCTGCATAATCCCGTTTCTGTTTACTGTCACCATCAATATCATCATCTCAGTTAAACTAGTAATCCTTTAAATACATTAATCCATCAATATCATCATCTCAGTTAAACTAGTAATCCTTAATTATATCAATTGGGGGTATGTGAATAAAATCCGTTTCTAAAATAGGACATTTTTGAATAGGATATTATTGATTAAAAAAGTACATACAGCGATAACCTAAAAACAGTGAAATGGACTTTTGTCATTTGAAATTGTTAAAACTGATAAATATTTTTTAAATGGTGGGGATTTTTTTATAAATCAATTAATTAAACATAACAAAAGTTTCAGCCACATTCAATATGAAAAGAACGAAAGAAGACGACAATATATTTTTCTTCAGATTCGTCGGGAGAAAGAACGTATTGGTGCGGGATGCCCTGGTTGCAGGCTTCAGGGGGGATTCTGTACAAATCATCTAAACATCAGGTAAAAATAGAATATTCTTTTTGAAAAGAATGAAAAGTAATGCCTGAAAAGGAGCCCTCTGTAGTGACTGTAGTGGGTGTCAGCCAATCGAGATTCCAAACAAATTATCGCAACAAAAAAAGTTACAATTCTAAATATCCAAATCTCATCAGAGGCTCAAATATGGTTGGTTGCACTTAAAATTGTCTTCAATTTTTTAAGATTTAAGCTGGTACTCATTTGAAACTGTTTTTTGGGGGATTTGAGACACGGCTTAAATTCGGACACAGTATTCTAATTGTTTTTCTAGTTATGTTTTTAAATGTATAATGGATTCTTCCTTTTTAATAGTCAATATATAATTTTATCAGTAAACAAACGTCATAAACTGGATATAAGTCAGCTGATTTTTATTTGTTAATATTCTTGAATTATACTTGTGACTGTGTACCACTTGGTAAACCGGATATAAGTCAGCTGATTTTTAATAAATAATGCTCCTGAATTATACCTGCAAACCACTCGATAAACCGGATATAGTCACCTGATTTTAATAGTTAATATTCTTGAAATATACTAGTAAACCTCGTGGTAAACCGGATATAAGTCAGCTGATTTTTGATAGTTAATATTCTTGAATTATACCAATAACTCATGTGATAAACCAGGTATAAGTCAGATGATTTTAATAGTTGATATTCTTGAATTTTACTAGTAAACCACGTGATAAACCGGATATAAGTCAGCTGATTTTTATTATTTAATATTCTTGAATTATACTTGCAGCTGTATACCACATGGTAAACCGGATATAAGTCAGCTGATTTTTAATAAATAATACTCCTGAATTATACCTGCAAACCACGTGATAAACCGGATATAAGTCAGCTGATTTTAAGAGTTAATATTCTTGAATTTTACAGTAAACCACGTGATAAACCGGATATAAGTCAGCTGATGAAGATGAAATCTGTTCGTATGACCGTAATTGTTGCTTTCTGTTTGTTTGTATCGCAGGTATATGTATATTTTATAATTTTTACTGTCATGTTTCCCTATATTCATGGTTCCCTGCAACTGTTAACTTGTTTTTTTCTTTGTCAAATCAATAAATAAGCCATTAAACATCTAAATTTATGACTTAAATTAGTTGTTTTTCATACCCTTATAATCATCATATTTAAGCCTACCATGATTGGGAGATTTTTTGTTTTATTTTTTCCCTAAATAACTTAAAAACGGTAGACATCAGAACGCAGGGATAGGGTTTCAGGTCGTTTTTAGTCTCATCCTTTGTGGTTAAACTTGTATACAGGGTTAACCACAAAGGATGAGACTGTAAAGACGACCTGAAATTCTGTTAATAATTCGATTCCAAGTTCTCCTTGAATATAGCCTTTTTATGGCCTTTTTTATGATTGGGTAAAGAAAGAATCAAGCTTACAGTTGCAAGGAATTACAAATATAAGGAAACAGACAGTGTAAATTTCATACATTCTCTGAATTTTTATCCTGTATATGTATAAATATTCTTTTTCTAAAACATTTTACCAAAAATTACTAGCATCAAAATCCTTTGCAAATTTTTTAACTAGGAGAAAGAAAGAAGATAATTATTTCAAAATTTTCTAGTTACTATATACTACAGTGATAACAATGGAATAGGAAGACGACATTACAACATTACTTAAGTGTATTTAATGTTGTTACAAAGCAAAAAGTTTAACTAGACACTTTTAAAATCACTAATTTAGTGAAATGGGTCTCACAATTGCATTGTCTCATGCTCATAGGATTTTTTAAAGTTATAACTTGATTTTAAAAGTCGTCAACATATTTTAGAGTTTTCTGGTTATCCCTGTATGTTTTACACAAAACCATCAAGTTTAAGTTTTAAATGAAAATTCATATTTTATCACTTTTGCCATCGATTTAGGCTCCTGTTTGCATTCTTTATACCTTGGCGTGGAAAAACCCTAAATCTATTGGTAAGAGATTCCAATATTTTTGATTTACTAAAATATAAAACTCAAATAGGCTATACTGATGACCAGGAAAACATCAATAAGATACAGGGTGTCCCAAAAAACATGGGAATTTAGTGACGAATTCGATATCGTCTTTGTTATGAATTAGCATTGTAATACCTAATTTCAAAATATTATTATGTCTGCTAGAGTTTATTCTTGTATTGTTCCCCTTCTCCACGGATCTCTCATACAAAGGTAGAATTTATAGAAGACGACATTTCAACCGAGGACTGTATTTTGAGACATTTAACAACAAAGAGTGGACGGAAAAGAACGCTCTAAATTACGAAATAAAAAAATCGCTTCTTTGGCAGAAAAAGTTTGACAACGGCAAAATGAGGGATTTTTGTTGAAGATAAGCGATCTTTGTCGAATATAAGCGAAATTTTTGTCACTTATTTGGCAGCCGTTCCACTTTTGCTGCCAATAAGTGATTTTTTGTTTTGTTATTTTCAATGTATTATATAAAATTTACAGTTTGCAAAAGTTAATCATGGGAAAGTTTTTCAAGAGTCTCCTAGGAGACATCTCGAAAAATTTGACAGTCAGCAGAAGATTAAAAAATGATTATCCAATTTTTAGCAAATCCTTGCCAAATTTTATTTTTATTTTTGGAAATGGAACAATGGAATAATTTGATTATACAGATAGTGATATATTTTGTACTCAACAAACGGTAAAAAAATCTTGAATGGTCTTAATTTAACCGGTACACCTTAATTCCAAATGAAAAGTAAGACGACTGCACTTAAGGTCTTAACTTGTGTGAATGAACTGAATGGTAAAAACATATGCTTTTATCATTTTTCAAAACCATGATGATTGATTGATTGATTGATTGAAAAATTCATAATTTATGATAAATGATTGAAAGTTCAGAACTACTGATTGCTTATAATAATTGATTGATTGTTCAATTCTACTGATTTATTTTGATAATTGATTGATTCTTCAAATATATTGATTGATTTTGATAATTGATATTTTGGAAAAAAATGCAGATTGATTATAATAATTGATTGATTGTTCAATTCTGCTGATTTATTTTGATAATTGATTGATTGTTTAAATATATTGATTGATTTTGATAATTGATATATTGGTCGAAACTACAGATTGGTTATAATAATTGATTGATTGTTTAATTCTACTGATTTATTTTGATAATTGGTTGATTGTTCAAATATATAGATTGCTCATGATAATTGATTAATTGATTTATTCTGTTTAGATATCAGCACAATCAGAACTCATTTCGTCTCTCCTTCTCCCGGCACTCTTCTGTTCCTTATCTAATCAATCAATAAACTATATATTGATTATTATTTACTATTTTGGATGATTATTGATTATTTGATCATTATTGCTTATAGATCATTTTGATAATATTCATCATATTTTATCATTAATAATTATCATTGATGATTAAATCACATCGATTAATAATGATTATTTTGAACTATGTATATTATTTATTACAGTTAATTTTTAACATATTTAAAGGGATTGTCAAAATGAGCTTTAGAAGTAAAAAGTTTGTTGAAACAATTCAGAATCAATCTATATAATAAAACACAAGATATTTATATATATGTTCATTATAGCTGGCAAAACGGCTGGACCGAATGGGCTGACATTTTTGAGGGAATCCAGGGGTATTCTTGGGGTATCATAGGCTAAAAATTTCAAATTCCACGGGCAACGCCGAGCAGTGGGCACTTCAGCTAGTATCCTTTAACATTTTTAATCGAATAACTGTCTTTTTGACATGTCATAACTATCGGTCGTTTTCTTGCTGCTTTGTGCTTAAAAACAGACCACTCCTCAGCTCAGATTGGCCAATGCATATTTATTAATTATTCTAAATATAATGTGGTGATACTGGTCATTTTAAAATTGTAGGAGTAGGAGAGGTGCGACCAATGTTATCTATTGCTACTGTTTCGAAAACTGTGTCCGATTTATACGAAACCTCTAATATATGTGATATGGTGTTTCAATAGATCATTTCAACAGACTAAATTCAGCAAATACGGAACAAATCTGAAAATTATGATAATCCACTAGGTGCCTATACCCCCTCTTATTTTACCTTTACAGTCCCTTTAATTTGTGTACAGTTCCTTAAAAAATGACAAGAGATGCGATACTTAACAAGTTTCAGTATTATTATTTTCATAAATATTACGGTTTTATAATCATCAGTATTTTTTTCTTTATTGGAAACCTTTCTTTTGAAAAGACCATAATATTACAACTACAAAGCGATATTAATTTTATATTAAATGTGTTATATATATATATGTCTACGTTCTAAATACATATTTTATAATCAAATGATAAAGAATTTAAAGTAATAAAGAAAATAATCAATTCACTGTAATAAGTGTTTTTAAATTTTTGTAAACTATTAGTATTCTCATGGTACTAAATACTTTAAATAACAGTGCAATATGTGTGTAAGGTTTATGAAGAGAAATCAATGTTAGCTAGTTTTATCATAGATTGAAAGGAAGTATGTTAGTTAGGTCTAACATAACAATAGGATTTCTTCTAACATTTTTTTTGCTGAAAATGTGAAGGTTTTGCAATTATAATTCATAATATTATTATTATTTTATATTATAAAGATGTTTTCACACAAAAAGAGATACATATATAAATGGTGTAGTTTGAATTTGTTTAGATATTTTGAATATATAGTTTTACAAAAGAAAAACAAACATGCAAAATTATGCACAAATAGGCCACATTGATCATTACTCATTACATAACATATTTATTATTTCAGTTATTTCGTAATCATAGAATCCTTCAACATATAAATTATTAATTCTTGTATTTAATAGTTCTTGTAAAATCGGAACTTTCCTTGCATGTTTCAATGGGACATCAAAATATTTCAAAATATTTTACTATAAGATCAGACAGATTTACAAAGCGATGGAAAATAAATTTCTGTGTTAAGGACATTTTTGCGTAAATTAGAAATAAATCTAATGCAAAGCTTAGAACTTGCTTCTATAGTCTAATGGAAAGACACACATCTATTGGCTAACATTGTTTATACATGTAAACATTGTGAAATACTTTCAATCAAATACCTATGGCCGGACGGGTATCTCTAAATACATTAAAAAGAATTCTAATAGCAGTATTCCATGTTGTATACAATTTTGAAACACATTATCAATTATGATTTAAAGAACTGTAGAGTTTGTGCACTATTGCATTTAATCATCACTGTCTTGTTCGAATTACCCATAAAGCATAAGTTAAAAACAATAAATATTTTTAAGGCTGAAAGAGGGTGTTAACATGCACTGAAAAGAAATAAAGTATTTTTACTGCTGCAGCGTCCAGAAATGTAATATTTGTAACAATCCGAATTCTTTCATTCATTCATTCTTGGCCACAAACTCAAATTTTACAATCTGATGTTGTGTTCCATAGATATTTTAAACTAAGTTAATTTGATCTAACAGAATTCATGGATGGAAATATCTAAGATCTATGACATTTAATTGCTAAGATATATGGATTAGAATATCAAAGTTTGTGGACTCAAATCCTTTGTCCTCATGTCTCATAAGGAATTTTTTTACTATATAGTGTTAGATCATTATATCAATACAATGAAGACGACTTTTGATTTTAAAGCATCTAATATTCTGTTAACAATATTTCTTTTATTTAATCGGCGTGTCTTTTATTTATAGGACCTGTTTTTGTTTACAGGACGTATTTTATCTAAAGGACGTGTTTTTTGTTTAATAATTGATACAATTTAATGCAATAATAAACTTTTAGACAAAAAGCTAATAACCTTATTACTTACGTGCACCTTATACACACCAAGCACCTAAGAAATATGTAAAAAATAAGCTAGAGTATTAAAAAATCTCTTTTTCCTTTCTTCACTAAATTCTCATATTCTGTTAATTTGAGGTTTAATAAATAAATGTATGTAGAGCAAAGACTATAAACAGATTCAAGATAAGAAAATATGAACTTGCTCAACTAAACAGACTGAGAAGGTAAACTTTATGCGATTTTACCATGGATATGACTTTGTAACCTCGTAGCTCCTTCAGTTTTATCCGGTTATATATCAAACATATTTTATTTTCAACAGGATGAGTTATGATTAAAAATATTTAAGAATTCAATCAATTTAGTTTAGTTTGATGTGATAAAGTTAAGGTTTAAAAAACGAAAGAAGTTTTTGTTTGTCATCTGTTTTTGAAAGACACCATTTTATGTGGTTTAAAGAGTGATGGTTCTCTGTACGAAAAAAATTGTTGTGTCTTAAAAGGATATTTCATCGTTTAAAAAGTACAAAATAAAATAAACTGCTTGGTTCAATTACTAACACTTTTGAAATATTTAAACCCTTCCTGACGACCATATATAGCAATGTTGCGGAAAATTTACAGATTTAAACAAAACACATTGTAATTTTTTCTTGCTCTATGACAATTTGCTCTAGTTCCATTTGCTCTTTAAAATCATTTGCTCTATACGTCATTTGATCTATAACCTAAAAAGACACTGTAAAATAAACTTTATAGGAATTATTGCACTGTATTTCCGCCGTCCAAAAGCAGTATTCTTCTTAAGTATTCTTTATTAGAAAAGGAAAAACTACATAAAATGCGGTGGTAAAAATTCTTATATAAGAAAGGAAATTTTCAGTTCTAAGGCACTAGGGTCGTTCCACTTTGTAAAATTCACAGAATGGACTTTTTAGGAATTACTGAACAAAACTTGACTTTGTAGAGGGACAAAAACACAGTTCCACGATAAGTTAACTGTTGAATGGTGGAGTAAAAAACTTAGAAATTTAAGTCATGACAGTCATTGAATTGTGGGAATTATTTTTTTTTGAAAAATTCGCGAATTATAAAATTTTGCAAATTGAATGAGTTCTCCCAAGGTGATTAAGTTGGCGAGATTACTCAATAATAAGAAGAATAAGACTAACCTAACATGTGGTGAGAATTATTCTAAGAAACATTGAATTTGTAGCTGAAGAAATAGTAATATAATTGTAATATTCACAGAGCAAATGGACCAAGACAGTCATAAATATTGTTTATAGAGCAAATGTTTAGTCATAGATCAAATGACGTATAGAGCAGTTGGCATATAGCGCAAACTTCGTGAGCAATTGGTTAATAGAGCAAATGGAACTAGAGCAAATGGCCATAGAGAAAATCGAAATAGAGCAAATTTCGTAACGCCCTTTATTAACTTTTTTCTTCTTCGTCCATACTGTATATTCTGTTAATTTTAGTTTTAAAAAGAAATGTAATTTATACAAGTTTAAAATGGAATAAAAAGATAAAAGGCAAAAATGAACTTTGAACAATAAAACTGTTTTAAAGGAGTTCAGAGTTTATTTTCTAAGTTTGAAAATGAAAAAATAAGATTTATGGATAAACTTCAACTTACTGAAGATTAGTCATGAAACCTTCAAATATTATAACTGTTTATAAAAACTTTCAACAGGAAACTAAAATTAAACTTTTATTTTAAGAAAAGTTTTAAGATTATAAACTTTAAAGATAATCGGATGAAACAGTTTTATTTTTATTTATTTTAATTTAAATTTGATAAAAACAAGAGAGACTGGAAGAAATAAAGGAAGTTAAGAAAGGAAGAAGGAAGGAAAAATAGAAAAAAAGGAAAAAAGAAAAAAGGAAATAAATAAAAAAAGAAAAGAAAAAAAGAAAGAAAAAAAGAAAGAAAGAAAGAAAACAAAGAAAGAAAGAAAGAAAAAATATTAAAGAAAAATGAAAAATTGAAAAAAAGAAAGCTTTTAGAGTAAAATAAACACAGATATATTCTTGTAAGAAAATAACAAAAATAAAAATATTTCTAAATAAAAACCAAGAAGAAAGAAAGAGAAATGAAAAATATTTGTTAAACAAAGAATTTGCTTCTATTTCCTCTCATAAACATTTCTAGAATACTTCTTCAAGAGAAACAATATTGGTTTAATTCATCAAAGAAAACTGAAACCAGAGCCAGAGGCGCAATACAGATAATTCATAAGTATAGAATGTAGTTTTATAAAAAAAAACTAAGTAATATTTCACAAAATGTCGAAAAAAGTACTTTTTTTGTTGGAAATTCTTTCAGTTTTTATTTGCAAACATTTTGCAACTCACTTACCAAACAACAATATGTGCAGTATTTGGGAGGTTTCAAAGCGAAAACATTAAAAAAGGATATAAGAGAAAAAAGAGTAAACTGCTTGAAATGTTACATTTTCATTAATTGAACATAAAAAAGAGTTTAAAATATATATCATTGTT